CCAATCCGAGTTCCACATCCTGCGACTGGGAGAGGCAGGACAGTCAGGAGGAGCCTGACTCACGATGACTCCAGGAAGCTCCAGCCTGAGGAAGGCGGGTCACGTGGACTTCACACGCCGGGCGGAGGCGGCCTCTCCCCAGAGGGGGAAGGCCTGGCCCAGGCTCAGGACGGGCTTAATTGCCCTGCTCATAGAACAGCGCAGGCCTCTTCCCCTGGGCCCAAGCCCGTGCCTGCTCTTCCTAACTACAGCAGCGGCCTGGCCTGCGGCAGCCTGAGCGGCTGGAAGTGAAACCAGGGTGAGGCGAGGCCACTGACGGGAGAGGGAGGGAGGAGGGAACTTCTTCCAACACCCTGTGCGAATGACTGCACATCCAGATTCTGCAGCCCTGAGGGTGCGAATGTCCAAATCACCAGCAATAATGAGAAGGATTAGGGTGGCAACCTCTTCATGGCACTTAAAGCTGTGGCCCCACGCCTCCCAGAGACACCCTCTTCCCGTTGGAAACCTCCTCCACCCCAGGGCTCATGGTTTCCTGGCTTCTTGCTCTTCTTCCCCCTGGTCACTCCCACCCCCATCCCCCTCCCCTCCTATCCCTTAGACGAAGGCCTTGCCCTGCTGTTTGCTGCCTACTTTTCTGTTCTCCCCTCTCTCCTCTCTCCCTTTCCTGCAATCTCGTTCCGCATGAGGGTTCAACAGCCTGCATTTCTGCACCCCCACCTCTTGAGACTGCAGGGTCTGAATTTCCAGACGGAAGCTCCTCCAGGCAGGTGGTTCTCAGCCTCAGCTGCCCATGATTAGAATCACCTGGGAGGATTTTTAAAACTCCCAAAGCCTAGGCCCTAGCCCCAGACTGATTAAATTAGCATCCCTGGGTGTGGGGATCGGGCATCAGTGTGTTTTGAAGTTGTCTTTAATTCTCCTACCTGAAGATAGTTGTCTCTCTTCTGACCTGCCACAATGCTTTATCTGAACTATTCCCAGACACCTGATATATATTTTTTATTTTTTAAAAGTCTAGCTCAAGAACAGGACTCTGGGTTTTAGATGCTGGCTTTGGCATCTACCAGCCAGGAAGCTGTAGGCAGGTTTGTTTCCTCGTTTGTAAAATGGTGGTGGGCAGGGCTAATGATAGGACTTAGCTCCTAAGGTTGTTATGAGAATTTGAGAAGTAAACCCATCGTTCAGTGCCTGGCACAGACCAAGCCATGAATAAAAGTCTGCTTTATAGCCTTGTGTAGTAAGATTTTTGAGTGCTAAATTTGTGTCTAGTTCAGTGGTTCTAGAACTTTAGCCTACAGAAAGATTAAATCTTTTTTCTATATTTATTAATATCTGTATTTTATATTCTGTAAAGTCGATCTTAATAAGGTTGGCTAAAAAATTCTATTTTTTACCTTTTATTTTAGATTCAGGGGTACATGTGCAGGTTTGTTATTTAAGGAACTTGCACGTCATGAGGGTTTGCTGTACAGATTACTCTGTGACTCAGGTAATAAGCTTAGTACCCAACAGGGAGATTTTCAATTTCTGCCCTCATCCCACCCAGATTAAACAATCTGTAACAAGCTCTGGAGAAGCTTATTAAAAAACAAACGCTTGGACCTCATTTCTAGAGACCCCGATTCCATAATCTGGGATGGAGGGCCTGCATTTCTAACAAGCTCCTGGGTGATGGTTGCAGCTGGTCTGACCCGCCTCCGTATCCTCTCCTGCCTACCCCCTCAGCCCAGGAGCAGCATGAGGCTGACTCTGCTAGGTCTTTCCTAGAGTCCAGAGCTCGGAGATTGATCCCCAACAGCCAACTTGGTCAATCACCAGCCCAACTCCCCAGGTTCTAGAACCTTCCTGACTTATACCCTAAAAGCAGAGTCCAGACTACCCCTCTTGTACCAGTCCAGGGCTTTCAAGGATTTGGATGGATTCTGTTGCAAGCCTAACTTAAATCCCCCACCCCCGAAACTCTATATCTTTGTGACCCACCAGTCCTTAGATAAGAAACCACAGAATTGCACAAAGCGGTAAGAAGGCAAAGTTTGCCTTCCATATCAATTACTTTCTTGAAAAAGACTCTGCTTCCCTTTCTCCTGGCTTTAGGGACCTCATAGCACTTAGTAACCCACCAGAGCCCATGGCTTGCTCTATCCCCTTGGATTTAAATTGCCACCACTGCCAGATTTTCTCAGTGTGGCCTGTAAGTGCCCTATTTAAGGAAGGAAATGCACTGGCTCTCCTTCGGCTAAGCAAGACACCATTTTGTGCGTCTTTCTTGGGAGAGCACAGAGATTCACTGTGGTGCTCTTGACCTGATTCCAGCTTCTCTAGTGAGATTTCAGCACCAGACATTTTTCCTAATTTTCCTTCCCAGGAAGACTCCTGACTCTGTCCACCCTGTGTCTGCCTTTTTGCCTCTGAGCTATTTATTTGGTTCTTCCCACCTGTATGCCGCCAAGGTATCTATCTCCTTGCATTCCCCTTTAAAGCGGACTCTTTATTTTGTTCCCATTTTAGCTCAACTCCATTACACTAAATACTGTACACATTATTATCCCCTAAACAAATTTACTCAATCAGTCTTAGTGAGCAGGGTCAGGACCCAATGAGCTGGAAGCCCAGCCCTTGAATTGGATCTCAGCCAAAACAGCCCAACAGCCCCCTCCCTCTCGAAGCCACATTACTCCCAGAGGGCTGGAGTTTTCCATCAGTGAAGAAGGCGTTAATTAAAGCAAATGAAAATGCCCTCATTTGTTGTAATGGATTTAGCTTTTGCAGACCATTTTCTACGGGGTCGCCTGCCTGGATGATGTGCTGAAAAGAATCATCGGGAGAAAAGACATGACGTTCCTAACTGCCTTCAGAGACCTGCTTTTCACCACACTGGCTTTTCCTATGTCCACAGTAAGTTACAAAGACATGTACATAGCATAACAGACATGTGCATATGGACAAACGCTTCTCCTGGGCAGCCAAGCTGTTTGGGAGCTCATAATTGGAAACCAGAGCCACTGTATTTGCAACAATGTCCTGTCTGAGGACTGCACCACATTGCCCAGTGTCTTTAGGAAACAGGGCACATTAGTGATCAGCTTTATCACTGGCTTTTGTACCTTTGCGAAGGCTTGATACGAGGTCCTTCTCGCTGTCTAATGGGGAAGTATGAAGGACCTTTCTTAATCAAAATACGACTGAGACAACCTTGGTTCCATGAGGGTGATGGTAATGGGGAGCCCTGGGGAGAGAGATGACTAATTTTCTCCTTTTATGCATCTTGTTTCACTTGCTACAATTAGCATGTGTTGCTTCTACAAGTGGAAAACCATCAAATAAAAATTTTTTTTTTTTGAAAAAAGACATGAGACCTTCAAAGGTGGCACATGGAAAAGACACTGAGGAGAGAAAGACAGCCTGGTGTGGGTACGCAGTGGGCGCCCCCTTCACGTTGCAGAATGGATGGACATCAGGAAGAAGTGAGACATATATGCCAGGGACGGAAAGCTTGTATGCTGATGCCAGCCACGTCTCTATGATATTGTTCGTGTTTCTGTTCATTAGCCTGAATGGAAACAGACAGAGATCAGGCATGCTGGCTGCCACGCCAGGGCTGTAATTAGAAGTGACTACCTTCTTCCACCTGCCATTGTCCTGCTTCCTATAGCACTAATACTTCAAACTTCAACGCAAAAGGCAACCCTCCAAACACTAGTGAGTTCTCTGACAACAAAGCAAGGGTCCCTATTACTTTGCAGGATACCTCTACCTCCATCCACATAAAATCTTCTAACGACCAAGCTTTTTGTGTTTTGGGTTTTTTTTTTTTTTTTT